TGTGGTGGTGGTAGTAGTGGTAGTGATAATGGTTGTGGTGGTGATAGTAGTGGTAGTGGTAATGGTGGTGATGGTGATAGTGATAATGGTTGTGGTAGTGATAGTGGTAATGGTTGTGGTGGTGATAGTAGTAGTAGTGGTAATGGTTGTGGTGATGGTGATAATCTTTGTGGTAATAATAGTGGTAAAGGTTGTGGTGGTGACAGTAATAATGGTTGTTATAGTGATAGTGGTAATGATTGTGGTGGTGATAGTAGTGGTAGGATGAGAGACAGGTATTGTTGTATTGTATGAGGTTGGTCGGTACTGCCGGCCCGGGTCTTCTCCAGATGGCGACCCGGCCGAGAGACAGGTAGGGTAGTGATGAGGTGAGAGCAAGTGTCCTTTGACTACAGGTCAGTCGGGTCAGGGCAGTCATGTGGTGGTGGTGGTGGTGGTGGTGGTGGTGATGGTGGTGGTGGTGGTTCTTGTGGTGATGGTGGTGGTGCTTGTGTTGGTGGTGATGGTGGTGATGATAGTGGTGGTGCTGGTGGTGATGATAGTGGTGGTGCTGGTAGTGATGATAGTGATGGTGCTGGTGGTGATGGTGGTTGCGGTTTGGTAGCGGTGGTGGTGGTGATGGTGGTTGTGGTGCTGGTAACGGCGGTGGTGGCGATGGTGGTGATGGTGGTGATGATGCTGGTAACGTTGGTGATGGTGATGCTGGTTGTGGTGCTGGTAATGGTGGTGATGGTGGTTGTGGTGCTGGAAGCGGTGGTGGCGGTGATGGTGGTTGTGCGTGCTGGTAACGGTGGTGGCGGTGATGGTGATTGTGGTGCTGGTAATGGTGGTGGCATATTGCTTCCTGCCCCAGGAAACAGGACTAGTGGGACTTGATACAAGTTTGTATTAATTAAATGATGGCCACGCTAACTGCTGTGAGCTTCACCTGGTCAGCTGTGAGCTGGGACCTTCACCTGGTCAGCTGTGAGCTGGGACCTTCACCTGGTCAGCTGTGAGCTGGGACCTTCACCTGGTCAGGTGTGAGCTGGGACCTTCACATGGTTAGCTGTGAGCTGGGACCTTCACTTGCTAAAGTGCAGTAACACTAGAATCCTAGAATACAGGTGCAGTGATCTTTCCCTAGAACACTGTCCTATGGCGATCCTTCCCTAGGACACTACCCCTGGGGTGATCCTTCCCTAAGACACTACCCCAGGGATGATCTTTCCCTAGAACACTACCCCTGGGGTAATCCTTCCCTTGGACACTACCCCTGGGGTGACCATTCCCTAGGACACCACCCCTGTAGTGATCCTTTACTAGTTAAATGGTCTGGAAACCCCAACATGACATTTCGTGTTGTGGTCTTATGATTCTGACGGAGGTGACTGGTAAGCCAGTGGAAGACCTCGGTCCCATGACCAAAAAAAAAAAATCCGCCTTGTCAGCCATCTTAGGCCTAAGACCCGCGTTGGGAGAAATTTATTTTCTTCTGGAGAATAAATTACTGCCACTGACTCTACGAGACGTGGAATGTCTACAGTGTGAATATAGAAATATTTGAGGCGATCAGTATGCAGAGATTAAATGTTAATCTCTGTTTTAAGAGAGGAATACATAGATTGGGATTTGATTCAGTGGAAAGGTGGGTATGTTGGGTAGGTCGGTGGGTGTGTTGGGTAGGTCGGTTGGTATGTTGGGTAGGTTGGTGGCTATGTTGGGTAAGCTGGTGGTTATGTTGGACAGGTTGGTGGCTATGTTGGGTAGGTCAGTGGGTATGCTGAGTAGGCTTGTGGCTATGTTGGGTAGGTCAGTGGGTATGTTGGATAGGTTGGTGGTTATGTTGGATAGGTCGGTGGCTGGTAGTTAACCAGCTGAAGTATGTAGACGCAGACAAGAAACAGTGAGGAAGGTAGAGGACTGGGAAGGAACCGAGAGGCAACAAAAGAGCATAATATAGATAAATGGTGTAAAATACCTACACGATGGAAGATAGACACAAATGCAGTACAATGAGATCCTTTATTGACGTGACTGCGCTTTCAGACATGACACCGCCGAGAGAAGATACTCTGTCCTCCGCTCTAACTCCGCCGCCAAACACGTCTCCAATATCTTTTAAGAACGTAAGAATAGAAGGTACACTTCAGCAGGCCTACTGCCCTATATTAGACAGGTCCTTGTCAGACCCAAACGCATTCCAAGCATCTGTCAACCTCATCTACCACCATCAACCACAGGGACACCACAAGATTCAATCCTCTTCAGGAGTATATGTAATCTCTCGCAATGATTACAACCAATTATACGTGGGCGAGACATCCACAGACCTCCAAACACGTATTTCAGAAAAAAAAAATTTATCTACAGTTTAGGACATTTGATAAATTAGATACATGTGCAACACTTGGGTATCTTTCCTGAGGAAACGTTTCGCCACACAGTGGCTTCTTCAGTCCATACAAAGGAGAATGGTGAAGAACAGGAGGAGTTTGAGGTAATCAGTCCATCAGCCTCGAGTCGATGTAGTCAGTCCACCAATCATGATGGACTGACCATTCTCCTTCGTATGGACTGATGAAGCCACTGTGTGGCGAAACATTTCCTCAATAAAGATACCCAAGTGTTGCACATGTATCTAATTTATCAACTTGTCGGTTCTCTGAACCATTCATCTACATTTGGACATTTATTGGAGGACTGAAGAAGCCACTAGTGGCGAAACGTTTCCTCTGATAAATGTCCTGAACTGTACATAAGTGTATTTTTCCTCATCCTGCCGGTATTATCAGACCATTTTTGACGTATCTCAGAACACCAGTAAGCTTGCGTAATCGACTACTTGAGAAATACCTGCGTTATACACCCTTCAAAAGATCATCTCACGGTAGTGAGGTGATCTGTATTGTGTATGGAGTCTATGGATGTACTCTGTGAGATCTCTGAGAACCTGAACCAACGATGCTCTCCATCGAGCAACTCTACCAGTAGGTTAAGGAGGATCTGGAAGAGGCCGGACGAGAGATGCGGCGACTGACTGAGAAAGACAAGAGTTGCTGAGAGTGTTAGGGTCATGAAAGAGGGGCTAGGGAGAGGACTGGAAGGGGACTGAGAGGACTGCGACAGGTTTGGGAGGGAGAGGGCAGGGCTAGGAGGGATGGAGAGGACTAATGGCTGGCTGGCTGGCTGGTGTTAACCTCAGCATGAGAGGCAGTGATGACGGGGTTGTCTCCTGAAGCGTGAAAAGAGTGCACTTTTACACGCTACTTTCCAGGACCCTCGACTCCGCCCACTCACTCGAACGCCCACACCCCGCCTTCACACGCCCACCCATCCAGCTGTCTCACGCTCATCCCCCCTCCAACTGTCTTATGCCGAAACCCACCCACCCAGCTGTCTCACGCCCACACCGCCGCTAATTTACATCCACCCACATGCCCTCACCCTCACTCATCACCACCACCAGCATCGTCATTACTACCATCGCCATCATTATTATTAGTAGTAGAAGTAGTAGTAGTAGTAGTAGTAGTAGTAGTCGTAGCAGTAGCGGTAGCAGTAGTAACGTACGCATATATAAGAACATAAAAAGGAACACTGCAGCAGGCCTACTGCCCCATGCGAGGCAGGTCCAGGTCACCTCCCGGCTCAGACCAATGACCCACCTAGTCAGGTCAGGTCACATGCATTTATGGAAGGGGCACGGCATGAGACCTTTTAGCACAAGCTAGTCAGGTCCAACTCACACCCACCCACACCCACTCATGTATTTATCTAACCTATTTTTAAAACTACACAACGTCTTAGCTTCTATGACGGTACTCGGGAGTTTGTTCCACTCATCCACAACTCTATTACCAAACCAGTGCTTTCCTATATCCTTCCTGAATATGAATTTTTTCCAACTTAAAACCATCGCTGCGAGTCCTGTCTTGGCTAGAAATTTTTAGCACGCTACTTATATTCCCTTTATTTATTCCTGTTTACCATTAATAAAAATTATTAATATTTACATTAACATAAATGAAAAAATATACATATCTTTAAACGTATAAGAGAAAATTTTAGAAAGAATTTAATTTTAAATGAGTTCTTGCTAATTGATCAGTTTTACCTATTCAGCACGACATTATATATATATATATATATATATATATATATATATATATATATATATATATATATTATATATATATATATATATATATATATATAATCATACGATTTTTTGTTTTTACATAAAATATTGACAATATACTTGGCAGTGTTATCGAGGGAGCGTACCCTTGTGGGAGCACATGTGTCGTTCTTGCCTGGAGTGGAGAAGCAGCAGACAGCGTGGTGGTGTTTTGATCAGACATGATCACAAGTGTAAGTGATTAGACGGTGAGTGTGAGTGTGTGTGTTTTTATTGTGTGGGAACTGTCAGGTCAGCAGAGTGTGTGTGTGTGTGTGTGTGTGTGTGTGTGTGTGTGTTGCAGCGCGACAGTGTCAGAGAGGGATAACGCACATGTTGACAAAATTAAGCAGACTAATTATCAATACATTTCGACCACTGAGAGCACACTCGGCAGACACAGTGAGACAAAAACATGTTATACTGGACAGGTCAGGTGAAGACAGAATGGCGACGATAATTAATCGTAGGGACGGTGTTTATCCGGAGATTTAATAACATCTGATGGTGATGACTTTACACTAACACTGGTCTGGGACCATGTCCTGACACTGGTCTGGGACCATGTCTTGACACTGGTTTCCAGTAAGAGGAGCACTGATGGGCGAGTAGATGTGTCTTTAACAGGCTAATGACGGGAGTCCCGTGGTATCGTACCTATGGCTGGGATGGATGAGACGGGCGGTTCAGTGGTATCATCCCTATGGTGCCGTATGACCTATGAAGAGGTCATGAAGGTCTTGGGTTTATGTGATGTAGTAGTTATTACGGACAGTGATTCAGCAGAGGCTAGTTTGAGCTCCAGGTCCCTGGGTAGCTTGTTGTGACCACCATCTCTGACCTGCAGTGCTGATCCTGTGTGCCATGTCTGTGTCAAGCCCCAGGGTGACTAGTTCTGACCACCATCTCTGACCTGAAGTGCTGATCCTGTGTGCCATGTCTGTGTCAAGCCCCAGGGTGACTAGTTGTGACCACCATCTCTGACCTGCAGTGGTGATCCTGTGTGCCATGTCTGTGTCAAGCCCCAGGGTGACTAGTTGTGACCACCATCTCTGACCTGCAGTGCTGATCCTGTGTGCCATGTCTGTGTCAAACCCCAGGGTGACTAGTTGTGACCACCATCTCTGACCTGCAGTGCTGATCCTCTGTGCCATGTCTGTGTCAAGCCCCAGGGTGACTAGTTGTGACCACCATCTCTGACCTGCAGTGCTGATCCTGTGTGCCATGTCTGTGTCAAGCCCCAGGGTGACTAGTTGTGACCACCATCTCTGTCCTGCAGTGCTGATCCTGTGTGCCATGACGGTGAATGTGACATCAAAGGGTTAAGTAGTTCACCCGAAGCTGAAATACCAGAGTTACTCTGAGTGAAGACAGTTGTCTTGAGGATGTCCCGAGCTGCGTGTGAACACTTGTGTTCAAACTCACTACTGGAAGATGTTTATTCAGCTGGGATACCGTAATCAAATGACTTTTAATTTAAATTTTGTACTTACCTAGTTGTACTCGCCTAGTTGTGGTTGCGGGGGGCCGAGTCACAACTCCTGGCCCCGCCTCTTGTATTGGTATACGGTTGCTCAAGTGAATTTCATTATCACATCAGACATCCAGTGACATTTTGAAGTGATGTATCAGATACATTTACAACACTTGCGTATTTTCTGTGACGAAACGTTTCGCCTCTACAAGAGGCTTCTTCAGTCGAATGCAGGTGAATACAACAAAGGAAATAGTAGAATGAGGTTTGACGTGATCATCCCATAACCCTTGACAGGAGGTGGTCAGTTCGTCAGTCATGATAGAAGGTGGTCAGTTCCTCAGTCATGATAGAAGGTGGTCTGTCCCTCAGTCATGATAGAAGGTGGTCAGTCCCTCAGTCATGATAGAAGGTGGTCAGTCCCTCAGTCATGATAGAAGGTGGTCTGTTCCTCAGTCATGATAGAAGGTGGTCAGTCCCTCAGTCATGATAGAAGGTGGTCTGTCCCTCAGTCATGATAGAAGGTGGTCTGTTCCTCAGTCATGATAGAAGGTGGTCTGTCCCTCAGTCATGATAGAAGGTGGTCAGTCCCTCAGTCATGATAGAAGGTGGTCTGTCCCTCAGTCATGATAGAAGGTGGTCTGTTCCTCAGTCATGATAGAAGGTGGTCAGTCCCTCAGTCATGATAGAAGGTGATCAGTCCCTCAGTCATGATAGAAGGTGGTCAGTCCCTCAGTCATGATAGAAGGTGGTCTGTTCCTCAGTCATGATAGAAGGTGGTCTGTTCCTCAGTCATGATAGAAGGTGGTCTGTTCCTCAGTCATGATAGAAGGTGGTCAGTCCCTCAGTCATGATAGAAGGTGGTCTGTTCCTCAGTCATGATAGAAGGTGGTCTGTCCCTCAGTCATGATAGAAGGTGGTCAGTCCCTCAGTCATGATAGAAGGTGGTCTGTTCCTCAGTCATGATAGAAGGTGGTCAGTCCCTCAGTCATGATAGAAGGTGGTCTGTTCCTCAGTCATGATAGAAGGTGGTCTGTCCTCAGTCATGATAGAAGGTGGTCAGTCCCTCAGTCATGATAGAAGGTGGTCAGTCCCTCAGTCATGATAGAAGGTGGTCAGTCCCTCAGTCATGATAGAAGGTGGTCTGTTCCTCAGTCATGATAGAAGGTGGTCTGTCCCTCAGTCATGATAGAAGGTGGTCTGTTCCTCAGTCATGATAGAAGGTGGTCTGTTCCTCAGTCATGATAGAAGGTGGTCTGTCCCTCAGTCATGATAGAAGGTGGTCAGTCCCTCAGTCATGATAGAAGGTGGTCAGTCCCTCAGTCATGATAGAAGGTGGTCTGTTCCTCAGTCATGATAGAAGGTGGTCAGTCCCTCAGTCTGATAGAAGGTGGTCTGTTTCCTCAGTCATGATAGAAGGTGGTCAGTCCCTCAGTCATGATAGAAGGTGGTCTGTTCCTCAGTCATGATAGAAGGTGGTCTGTCCCTCAGTCATGATAGAAGGTGGTCTGTCCCTCAGTCATGATAGAAGGTGGTCAGTCCCTCAGTCATGATAGAAGGTGGTCAGTCCCTCAGTCATGATAGAAGGTGGTCTGTTCCTCAGTCATGATAGAAGGTGGTCTGTCCCTCAGTCATGATAGAAGGTGGTCTGTTCCTCAGTCATGATAGAAGGTGGTCTGTTTCTCAGTCATGATAGAAGGTGGTCAGTCCCTCAGTCATGAAGAAGGTGGTCTGTCCCTCAGTCATGATAGAAGTGGTCTGTCCCTCAGTCATGATAGAAGGTGGTCTGTCCCTCAGTCATGATAGAAGGTGGTCAGTCCTCAGTCATGATAGAAGGTGGTCAGTCCCTCAGTCATGATAGAAGGTGGTCTGTTCCTCAGTCATGATAGAAGGTGGTCAGTCCCTCAGTCATGATAGAAGGTGGTCTGTCCCTCAGTCATGATAGAAGGTGGTCTGTCCCTCAGTCATGATAGAAGGTGGTCTGTTCCTCAGTCATGATAGAAGGTGGTCAGTCCCTCAGTCATGATAGAAGGTGGTCTGTTCCTCAGTCATGATAGAAGGTGGTCAGTCCCTCATCATGATAGAAGGTGGTCTGTTCCTCAGTCATGATAGAAGGTGGTCAGTCCCTCAGTCATGATAGAAGGTGGTCTGTCCCTCAGTCATGATAGAAGGTGGTCTGTTCCTCAGTCTTGATAGAAGGTGGTCAGTCCCTCAGTCATGATAGAAGGTGGTCTGTCCCTCAGTCATGATAGAAGGTGGTCTGTCCCTCAGTCATGATAGAAGGTGGTCAGTCCCTCAGTCATGATAGAAGGTGGTCAGTCCCTCAGTCATGATAGAAGGTGGTCTGTCCCTCAGTCATGATAGAAGGTGGTCAGTCCCTCAGTCATGATAGAAGGTGGTCAGTCCCTCAGTCATGATAGAAGGTGGTCTGTCCCTCAGTCATGATAGAAGGTGGTCTGTCCCTCAGTCATGATAGAAGGTGGTCTGTCCCTCAGTCATGATAGAAGAAGGTCAGTCCCTCAGTCTTGATAGAAGGTGGTCTGTCCCTCAGTCATGATAGAAGGTGGTCAGTCCCTCAGTCATGATAGAAGGTGGTCAGTCCCTCAGTCATGATAGAAGGTGGTCTGTCCCTCAGTCATGATAGAAGGTGGTCAGTCCCTCAGTCATGATAGAAGGTGGTCTGTCCCCTCAGTCATGATAGAAGGTGGTCAGTCCCTCAGTCATGATAGAAGGTGGTCAGTCCCTCAGTCATGATAGAAGGTGGTCTGTTCCTCAGTCATGATAGAAGGTGGTCTGTCCCTCAGTCATGATAGAAGGTGGTCTGTTCCTCAGTCATGATAGAAGGTGGTCTGTTCCTCAGTCATGATAGAAGGTGGTCTGTCCCTCAGTCATGATAGAAGGTGGTCAGTCCCTCAGTCATGATAGAAGGTGGTCAGTCCCTCAGTCATGATAGAAGGTGGTCTGTTCCTCAGTCATGATAGAAGGTGGTCAGTCCCTCAGTCATGATAGAAGGTGGTCTGTTCCTCAGTCATGATAGAAGGTGGTCAGTCCCTCAGTCATGATAGAAGGTGGTCTGTTCCTCAGTCATGATAGAAGGTGGTCTGTCCCTCAGTCATGATAGAAGGTGGTCTGTCCCTCAGTCATGATAGAAGGTGGTCAGTCCCTCAGTCATGATAGAAGGTGGTCAGTCCCTCAGTCATGATAGAAGGTGGTCTGTTCCTCAGTCATGATAGAAGGTGGTCTGTCCCTCAGTCATGATAGAAGGTGGTCTGTTCCTCAGTCATGATAGAAGGTGGTCTGTTCCTCAGTCATGATAGAAGGTGGTCAGTCCCTCAGTCATGATAGAAGGTGGTCTGTCCCTCAGTCATGATAGAAGGTGGTCTGTCCCTCAGTCATGATAGAAGGTGGTCTGTCCCTCAGTCATGATAGAAGGTGGTCAGTCCCTCAGTCATGATAGAAGGTGGTCAGTCCCTCAGTCATGATAGAAGGTGGTCTGTTCCTCAGTCATGATAGAAGGTGGTCAGTCCCTCAGTCATGATAGAAGGTGGTCTGTCCCTCAGTCATGATAGAAGGTGGTCTGTCCCTCAGTCATGATAGAAGGTGGTCTGTTCCTCATTTATGATAGAAGGTGGTCAGTCCCTCAGTCATGATAGAAGGTGGTCTGTTCCTCAGTCATGATAGAAGGTGGTCAGTCCCTCAGTCATGATAGAAGGTGGTCTGTTCCTCAGTCATGATAGAAGGTGGTCAGTCCCTCAGTCATGATAGAAGGTGGTCTGTCCCTCAGTCATGATAGAAGGTGGTCTGTTCCTCAGTCTTGATAGAAGGTGGTCAGTCCCTCAGTCATGATAGAAGGTGGTCTGTCCCTCAGTCATGATAGAAGGTGGTCTGTCCCTCAGTCATGATAGAAGGTGGTCAGTCCCTCAGTCATGATAGAAGGTGGTCAGTCCCTCAGTCATGATAGAAGGTGGTCTGTCCCTCAGTCATGATAGAAGGTGGTCAGTCCCTCAGTCATGATAGAAGGTGGTCAGTCCCTCAGTCTGATAGAAGGTGGTCTGTCCCTCAGTCATGATAGAAGGGGGTCTGTCCCTCAGTCATGATAGAAAGTGGTCTGTCCCTCAGTCATGATAGAAGAAGGTCAGTCCCCTCAGTCTTGATAGAAGGTGGTCTGTCCCTCAGTCAAAGATAGAAGGTGGTCAGTCCCTCAGTCATGATAGAAGGTGGTCAGTCCCTCAGTCATGATAGAAGGTGGTCTGTCCCTCAGTCATGATAGAAGGTGGTCAGTCCCTCAGTCATGATAGAAGGTGGTCTGTCCCTCAGTCATGATAGAAGGTGGTCAGTCCCTCAGTCATGTTAGAAGGTGGTCTGTCCCTCAGTCATGATAGAAGGTGGTCTGTCCCTCAGTCATGATAGAAGAAGGTCAGTCCCTCAGTCATGATAGAAGGTGGTCTGTCCCTCAGTCATGATAGAAGGTGGTCAGTCCCTCAGTCATGATAGAAGGTGGTCAGTCCCTCAGTCATGATAGAAGAAGGTCAGTCCCTCAGTCATGATAGAAGGTGGTCTGTCCTTCAGTCATGACAGAAGAAGGTCAGTCCCTCAGTCATGATAGAAGGTGGTCTGTCCCTCAGTCATGATAGAAGGTGGTCTGTCCCTCAGTCATGATAGAAGGTGGTCAGTCCCTCAGTCATGATAGAAGGTGGTCTGTCCCTCAGTCATGATAGAAGGTGGTCTGTCCCTCAGTCATGATAGAAGGTGGTCTGTCCCTCAGTCATGACAGAAGATGGTCAGTCCCTCAGTCATGATAGAAGGTGGTCTGTCCCTCAGTCA